AGGCCTTTTATCCTGTCGACTCCGGAATGTGTGGGAGCGGCAGGGATCCACGACTCCCGGTCCTTGAAGGGGTCGAATCCCTGGTCACAGTGTAGGGCGGTTCGGTTGCCCATGTCGCTCCCCTGGAAGCGGACCCAGAGCCTGGCCATCCCCCCGTACTCCGAGAGCTCCCTGAGGTGCGATCCCGTGGCGGTGCCGACCATTCTTCCATCCCCGATTATGACAACGTGTGACGTGGCACGCGTGATAGCAACATTGACCCTATTGGGATTGTCCATGAAACCCCAGTCGTGACAGTAGCTGGACCGCGTGGTCAGGTAGATCACGATGTCTGCCTCACCGCCCTGGCTGGAATCGATGGTGGAGATGTTGAGCCTGCCGCTGGCCAGGTATTTCCCGGCTATCTGACATATCCCCTGGAAGTGTAGCCCGATGCCGTTGAGTGGTGAGCTCCACTGCTCGAAAACATACTCGTGGCCCCGATGGTCACGGGGGTGGAGAGGGGGGTCGCTTGGCCCTATAAGCTCGCCTTTGCCATCGCCCTTATCCTTGTTCCTAGCCTGCCCAAGGGAGCCAGTGATGCTGCGCCCTGACTGGGGCCAGCCCTTCTCGAGCACCGCACACTGTAGCTGGTAGCCTACCACGACCAGGACTGTGGTCCCTTTTTCCATGGAAGGCATGAGGGCCCTCACCACGTCCACCGTCTGTGCGGCCTCTGGCATGTTCGCGTAGCCAGAATGAAGATTGGATGTGACCTCGACTGAGGGGTTGTCGACAAGGAGGAACCGGTGCCTTTCATCCGAGGGCTGCGGTGGGGGTTGAAGGTCCCGTAGTAACGTCTCCATGTCGTCTGTGGTGGTCTTGGCGGATTCAGCCAGCGCAGAGAGCCTCCCTCTGTCCCAGGGTCGCACCTGCTGCCGCGGTAGTCCTTCCACAATCGGTTTCTGCGTCAATGGATTGGTGAGCCCTGACCGAATAGCCTTGTTGTAGAAAGCCACGTTCGGCCACGACAGGAGAAGAGGATGCATACGGTAGCATAGGTCCAGTTGTACCACTGCAGGGGTATCCCTGCCCAGCGCATTGTACAGCTTGTCGAGTATGGAGAGACACAGTCCCGTATCAGCCGCCTTCCTGGAAAGGACAGTGGGGGGAAGCTGCCTGGGGTCGCAGACCAGTAGTAGGTGCCCTCCCGAACGTATGACATTGACGAGGCACATTGCCGCCATGAGTTCGTGGGCCTGTCCCGCCTCGTCAATGATGAGCAGAGCTGTCGGCGAGGCCAGCTTGAGCGACTCTGCCGCCTCTTGGGTAGCGATAATCACCTTGGCGTCGCTTAGCAGCTGAGAGCGGAAGGACAGGAGCTCCTCGGACGGCCCATTCTGGCGGGGGGGGCGGTTATGGGTCCTCTGAAAGTGTCCCACTGGAGTCAGGGACGCAATCTTAGGCGCCACCCCGGCGTCCTTTGCGAGCCTGACACACCTGTTGGGGAAGCAGGTCTCGCCAGCCAGTCTATTCTCCTCGCGCGCCATCCCGAGCCCGATGGCAGGCTGGTCGGCTGCCGTGTTCGATCCGGCCGTGAGGGCCACAGGTTGCCTCGCAGGAAGCGAGCTAGCCCATGCGTCCATGGTGGCCACCGTGAATAGTGTCTTGCCAGTCCCTAGGGGCCCATGTACCACTGTCACGTGGTGTCGGATAGTGGCGGTCAGCGCCTTGGCAGCGTTCTCGTTTAGTCGGTGCCGTCGGGCGGCGTCGTTGAGGTTGTCAATGGGAGGAAGGTTGTGAACTCGCTGGAGGACCTGTCCGATAGACCCTTCAACCTCATCGTCTGTGAATGGTGCGACGGCTTGCGCCTTGTTGTCATGCTGCAAACTCATGTCGTCCACCGCTGCTGCGCCCGGTAGGCACTGTGTTCTGCTCTCAAGGGTGGCCCTCGCCCTTGCCAGGAGGGAATTGCTGCATGTCCTCGTATTCTCCACTTCGTTGGCCCTTAGCCTGTCTCTCCGGTCGATGGTCCGCTGATTGAGGTAGAACGTTATCACATCCAGCGGAGCGCCCACCAAGTCGTCCGACGCTTGCTGCAGCTTGTAGATTCACTGATGGCCTGGTAGATTCCCCAGTACTGCAGCTTCGACGGCGCTCTCTCCAGTCGGAACAGGAGGATTTCCCCCTCGCTGTCTGCGTTTGATTCCTTGCCGAGAGACTGTAGCTCCTCGGCTTGCTTGGAGTCGCACCATGCCAGAGCTTGGTTGGTGGGGTACCTCGTGCCTTCCCTAAGCCCCATTACATCGCACTCGTTGCGGGGGATGTGGCCACCAAATTCTGGGGGCCACACGAGCCTGAGGGAGGCGACCTGGTCCTCTGTCGGATTGGCGAGGCTGAGGAGCAGCGCCCGCGACTGTGAGTCCTGACCCCCGCCCATTCCCTTGAGCATCAGCCTGAATTCACTTGGCCATTGCAGGTGTAGGAGTGTCTTCCCATCCTGGGGGGGAACGCGTGGCGAAGCTTATATTTTTCGAGCACGCGGCAACGCGACAGCTCGTGTGTGGGGGGGTGATCGCCACTTCCAAGGCACAGCTCTTCCTGCGTGCCAGGTCAGTTCTGGCCTTTTTTGAGCCGTCCCATGTCGTTTCCGTGGGGGCCATGGTTTCCGCCCATGCCAATCTGGACAGAATGATACCCCTCTGTCGTAGGTCCTGTTCCCAGTGTTTTGGCAGGTCACCTCCTGCTGCGATCTTCCCCAGGGGGGCGCGCAGACGGAACTGGGCTCCAGGGCGGTCTGCTGGCACGGAGAACCGCTGCATGATCGCCTTGGCCGCGGCATCAGCTGGGAGGTCTGGGGGCGTCGGCGAGGTGAGAGGGTGGAGGCCGCTGGTCCAGCAGAAATCCTCCCCCCGCAGCGACCCGCCCCGAACGGCGGGGTCTTGCGACGATGCCCTGCTGGACCCGGCCAGCCTGTCGCACTGGTTGGGGGGAGCGGGCAGCTCTTCTGCGCTGATGCGAGGGGGAGGCGGGCCGCTCCCTCCCAAAGTCCTTGCGCTGAGCCATGGGTTCACCCACCCGCCACGTCGGTATAGGTCTGGCGGCCGCAGGTTGGCAGGGGGTGGTGAGGCCGAACTCGTCGTCTCGAAATGGAAAGTCGACCGGTACGTGGTCCCAATCCTCCGGGAAAGTCCAGCCAGGTAGGTGCACGCGGCCCTCTTCCACGACCGGGCAGGGGAGTTCCCACCCTGGCCACGCGTGCCTCTCGATTTCAAGATTAGCGACGCAGTCTCTGGTCATCCATCGGGTCCGGGCCCAGAGGTTGCCTGCCTGAGTATAGCTCCTGGGGTCCGGCCACCCGTGCTCCTTCTGCTTCGCGGCTTCCTGGTAGTGATCGTTACTCAGGAGATGCGGCTTGCCGTCACAGTGCCTCTGACAGACCTCGCACCACCAGCACCACTCTTGGTTGAAGCGCGCCCACCTCATCCAGGGGCATTCACGGGCCCGAAAGGGCTTGACTGTGCCTTCTGCACTGGGACCACTCTTGCAGTGCTCGATCGGAAACTGCCATCTGGCTAGGGGCCCATTGTTGTTCTTTCGCTTTACCATCCCGCGGCGGCGCAGTGGGGGGAAGCGCAGCCGATAGCTGCGGATGCTGAAAGAATGCACGGTGGGGAGAAGCTCGAGCCGAGGCGGCGAGGGGAGCCAGGGGGCGGGGCAGGAGGGGGATGCGCGAGCGAATGGGCAACTTCAGCGGCCACGATGGGGTCGCACAGGCTGGCCCCACGGGGGGGGGCGCAGGGGAAGTGGGCGGGAATGGGAGGGTCGGAACCGCTCCACTTTGCGCGGGAGGTAACAGCCGTAACGCCTTCCCTACGTAGGGCGTCTGCCCAATACACCCCAATGGTGGCCAGACTGTCAGCCGCCTTGTTAAGTCTGCGCCTGACGGCCTGCCAAGTGAATACCCAGCCTGCCCCTTCGACCTGCCCCAAGGCATCCTCCATCTGCTGAGCCAAGTGTAGCCATCGGTATCTGGCTGTGCCAGCACCGTACCTTACGGCGGCTAAGTTGTCGCCGACAATCCGCGCCGTGCGGATAGGGCTGTTGATGCGGGGAAGCAGTGCCAGCCCGTCACGACAGCCTGCAACCTCGGCCATTTGGGCGTTGCTGTAGTCTGGGAGAGCGACTATGGCAATGGCGAGCACACGGGGGGCCCCGGTGCTGGGGTTGTGGTGCCAGAGTATGGCCCCGGCCCCTGAGACCTTCTCGCCTTCCCCGATGGATCTTGCCCCCCCATCGAAGGTGACTTCGCACGGCCACTGGGTGGAGTCAGAGTCGGGAAAGGGAGTCGCGAACGGTTATCTCGTCGCCTGGCTCAAGTCTGATGTTGGCCGCGAGAGTAGTGGTGTGCAACCGACATTCGCGCAGAAGGTCGACGACCACCGCGGTTGGAGAGTTGTCAGTCCTTGGGCATGGGAACCAACCTCTGCCGGGAGGCATCCACGGCGCGCGGATATGTGGACTGTAGCACTACCAGCCTGTCATCTGGGTCGCAGTGTCTGCTGACAACCGGGAGCCTGCGGATTTCGCCTCCTGCTCTGTCTGTGCGCCTTTGCGCGCGGGGACCGGCCGCCCCGCAAATTGCCCTGGCGGGAGGGGGGCGCGGGCTGCACGTGTGGCAGCGGTCACGCCGCACGGTCCACACTGCCGTCTCGTCGTGTCTGCCAACCCTGGAGGGGTCGTTTTCAGCCTGCTCGTCCTCATCGCTCCCTTCGTGGGGGTCCATGTCTGGGGTGGCCAGCCCGCGCAGGCTGAGAGTGGCCGCCTCACTTGCTTCCAAGGGGGCGGCAGTAAGGTTGGCGCAGTAACGGAAGGAGATCTGGTGCAACACTTTGGCCAGTAGCGGTTGGTGCACGCCCTCGCTGGTGATGGCCTGGGCCAGGGTTGGCGGGTCCTCGGGCCCACGCATGGTGCCCCAGACGAGAGCGGCCGCCGGGCACCAGTGCCAGACGTTTTTTTTTGCACGCGCAGCGCTCAGAACCTCGTGTGCGTCCTCAGCCCGCCCGTACAAGGTCGCATCTGCGCCTGCGGCATTCTCCGAACGCCGGCGGCGCGGACGCAGACGGCAGCCGCCGGCAATCCGCCGCGCCCTCAGGGGGCCTCTCCAACAGACGCTCATCCAACTGGCCCAAGACCGCCAGGCCACGTGCGACCGTGCAATTCCCCGCACTCCAGCACGAGATTACACGCCCAGATTCGGAGGAGGGGGGACGAGGCCGAGGAGAGGGGCGGCCCGCGGTCGTCCTCGCCGACTGGCCTGGGACCGTCGGGCCACGTCTGACCCTGCACTCCCCGGCACACAAGCACGAACAAACACGCCCCGATTCGGAGGAGGAGGAGGAGGAGGAGGACAAGGAGAGAGGGGGGACGAGGACGAGGAGGGGGGCGGCCAGCGGTCGTCCTCGGCAGCTGGCCTGGGACCGTCGGGCCTCGTCTGACAGGGCATTCCCCGGCACGCCTGCGCAAACTTACACGTCCAGAATCGGACGAGGAGGCAGGAGGAGGAGGAGGAGGACGACGAGGGAGGACGAGGACGAGGAGAGGGGCGGCCAGCGGTCGTCCTCGGCAGCTGCCCTGGGACCGTCGGGCCTCGTCTGACCGCGCATTCCCCGGCACGCCTGCTGAAACGAACACGCCCAGAATTCGCCGGGAAGGCAGGAGGAGGAGGAGGACGACGACGAAAGGAAGGAGGGAAGGCGAGCGGTCGCCATCTCGAGGCGCCTGGCGGCGGGGCGGCACCCGGGGACTCGCGGGGCCGCCCCCCCGCCAGGCCAGGGCGCGAAACCACTCTCAAGCCAGGGGGGGGGAGGGGGGGGAGGAGGAAGAGGAGGACGAGGACGAGGAGGGGGGCGGCCAGCGGTCGTCCTCGGCAGCTGGCCCCGGGCCGTCGGGCCTCTTCTATCTGCGCAATCTCCGGCGCACCTGTTCAAACTTACACGTCCAGAGAGGAGGCCAGCCAAAACGCACGCGATCCAGGAGCGGGTCACCAGCCAACGTGGCGCAAGAGAACTGGGCAGTACCGTTTTCACAAGTATGAAAAAAACAAAACCACACAGGCCCAACAGCAAGCAGCAACGACGGGCGAGAACCAGGAGAGAGCGGGCGCAGCGCCGAGCCATAGCCAGGCGAAGGACGCGTCCACAGGCATCCGACGGCGGACACCCGGGGCCGCACCATTCACACTGCCCACAGCAAGGGACCGCCCCCGAGGGGGGAGGAGAGGCCAAAGGCCCGAGGAGCGGGAAGGGCGAGAGGAGCGAGGGAGGGACGAACGACGAGACGACGACGAAGACGAGGAGGGCGACAGCAGGAGGGACCAAGTCTTACTCGTACTACCGAAATCGGCGGCCCTCTCGGAGCCCTCGAGCCAGCCCTGGAGCTCAGAAGTTGGCAGTGGGCCCCGCGTCACGAGCTGCATATGTGATGCCCCACCCCAGGTGCCTCTCCTTCAAGCCCACTGAAGCGGCCAGTGCGCCTCGCATAGTGTCAAATTTCACCGTGGCACAATTTCCAGCACGCCCCTTCGAGAGGATCCTGCAGGTGATCACGTGGCCGAAAGCATTGCACTCTGAACACAACATCTGCAACGTGAAAGCGACGTCCAACCCTTCGAAATACGTGTTGGAATGGGGAAAAGTGGAAATCCAAGCATCATGCGTCGTAACACCTGTCACCACAAAGCAAGCACGTACATCTGTAAGTCTTATACGAGAACGGCTGCCAATCACAGACATCCAATCCCCGTGTTCTGATTGCTCACGTAGGTGTGCGTGAATTTTCAGCAGCCTCTCGTCGATGGCGTCGTTTGGTGCCTGCGCAGCAGGCGGCTCTCGCGAAGTCGCCCTTAGCCCGTTCCTCCCCAGGGTCGAGGGGGAGGGTGCCTGAGGCCGTACGCGGGCTGAAGCACTGCTGGGCGAGCCCGAAGCAGACCTCGGCGGTCGCTGGCTCGGTGAGCGAGCGCCGTCGCCGCGCGGACCGGCTGACCTTGGGCGGCGGCCGCGGGCGCCCGCTGGGGCCAGAGTCGCCTGCCCGCAGAAATCGATGGCCCAAGATCGCGCGTTGGCCCTGGCGACAGCATCCAGCACCAACCCCGCAGTAGGGGCAAGCATCGCCGCGCTCTCTGCCAGTAGCGATGCCTGCGACAATGCGTCTGGCACCCAGAGAAGCCACTCGCCTTCCGTCTCGACGCAGATCCAATTGACGCCCTCGTCGTCGAGATCGCGATCTGGCTTATTGATGGCCCTGGGATCTAGGAACTCCGCGTCGAGTACCCGCCACACGAAACGGTCGCCCGAGTCGTCAGTGGTGTACGTCAACCACGCCCTGCACCCAGGAACCCGGCCAACGACGAAGAACTCGTCGGCGTCCTGCCCCGGGAGGCCCACAGTGCAGAAGGTGGGGAGGTCATCGAGAAAGCGCTCGTGCTCCTGCGGCGTGCCGATCGACAGTCCGACGGCGGGGTCAAGCCTGAGGCCTCGCCCAGGTCGCCTACCAGCGCCCGTGGGAGGGGCGAGCTCCGCAACGGCGTCGACCGCAGCAGTGCCATCGTCCACCACTGCTTGTATCATCGCTGCTGCGGCTGTCGCGCCGCTCCCGGTGACGCGCATCCACTGCGGTGCTTGCACGTGCCCGCTGGAGATGGCATCATCATTCGACTGGTCCTCGACCAGCTCCACTGTCGCCCCACTGGCCCGTTCCATCTGCAGCACGTTGCGCCTACCCACTCCCAAGACGCGCACCAGGCAACGATTTTTGGCAGTAAGAGGCACCCGATCGAGCTGAGATCGGGACGGCAAGCAGGAATGAAATCAAATATCACGGGAAAGACTACTAGAGCCCTAACGAATGATTGAATTTCGAGAACAAAATTTTCAACCGAGCAAAAGTCACCAAAAGGTCCTTTTCTTGCCAAGTAGCTCTCCAGCGCGCCAGAATTACTCTTAAGCTTCCAGCAACTAGCTAAGGGAAGCTCGACGAGTTACTAGCTCCACCCTGCGCCCGAATCCCTCTTAGCTCATCTTGCCCCCAGGGGGCAGAGAGGTAACTCTGGGAAGCTTTCCTGGCGGGCCCTGGGGAGACCTCTTGAAGCTCTTCTCAAGCGCTGCCAGGCGCGCTTTCTCGCGCGCCTGCAGTCGCGCAGGCACGCGTGGACGCGTGCCAGAACGGCTCCCAGACGGGCTGCGGGACAAACAACCCGCTGCGACGGGTCTGGAGCGGCGGAGATGGGCTGCTGGCAGGCACCACCTCCGTCGGGCTTAGAATCTAAAACCCTATAGCTCTCAGAGAGCCTCCAGGAATATACCTCGTAGAGCTCTTCGGCAAGATGAGCTAAGAGGAATTCGGGCGCAGCGTGCGGCTAGTTGGCAGACCCGACCTAAAGAGACAATGTGATGACTTGGGGTCGGTGTTGCTCACATTTGAAAGATAATTGACAATTTATGTTGAGAAACCAAATTCTTCTCACCAAAAGATTTGGGAAGAAACTGAAAAACGTGACTGGGATCCGGCGGTAAACCGTCGACCAGAAAACCGCCGGAAGCCTCGTAGAGCTCTCTTCTCGCGCGGCGCTGATCGGAGCACATGAAAGAAGCTTTCTCAGGGATGAGCCAAGAAACTTGAAAAATTACGTGTTTCGGTTTTTTCTTCCTAACTGGACGCCGGCGGTAAACCGTCAGCCTTGGTAACCGCCGGGGGACTCGTAGAGCTTCCTTGCCCTATACCATCTCCAAAGAATTAGCAGAGTACGAATAGTTGTTCAGCCCGAGCGCTAATAGCAGACTGATTGCAACCGTCTAGATACATTCAACTAGCGCCTCTGAGGATTCCCTTCCGATCGCTGTGCTGAACAGCTCTGTAGCTCATCTGCAGCGCGTGTTATACCAAGAAAACCAATAACATCTCCAAGAAATTAGCAGGGCACGAATAGTTGTTCAGCCCGAGCGCTAATAGAACACTGATTTCAAGCGTCTAGATATCAAATAGCGCGCCTGATAATGGTTTTCCAATTGCTGTGCCTAGAGCTCTGGAGCTCATCTGCAGCTCGAGTTAAGTCAGAAAAAACAATTCTATTACGAGACAGATAGCAGAGTATGAATAGTTATTCGGCTTCTGCGCTGAGAACAGACGAATCAAAACGTCTAGATACTTCAGACTAGCGCGTCTGATGATTCCCTCCCACTTTCTGTGCCAGAGAGCTCTGGAGCTCAGACGCAGCTCGAGTTCGGTCAAGGAACTCACTATCATCTAAATTGGTAGAATAGGAATAGTTTCGCGGCCCTAGCTCCAGTAGCAGACTGAGTTCAGACCTCTAGATACTTCAGACGAACGCGCCTGATGATTCTGAATCGAGTACGTGTGCGCATCAGCTCTTTAGCTCTCCTACAGCTCGAGTTAAGTAGAGACAACCGAGAACAGCTGTCAAGAAAATTCGTACAGTACGAATAGTTTTGCGGACCTAGCTCGGGTAGTGGACCGAGTTCAGACCTTTAGATGCTTCAGACGACCGCGTCTGATGATTATGGATCGGTTTCTGTGCGCGCCAGCCCTGTAGCTCTCCCACAGCTCGATTTAAGTAGAAAAAACCGACGGCATCTGTCAAGAAAACCGGTAGAATACGAATAGCTTCGCAGACCTAGCTCGAGTAGTAGACCGATTTCAGACCACTAGATGCTTCAGACGACCGTGTCTGATGATTCTCAATCGGTTTCTGTGCGTACCAGCTCTGTAGCTCTCCTACGGCTCGAGTTAAGTACAAAAAACCGGCAGCATCTGTCAAGAAAATCCATAGAATACGAATAGTTTGGCGGACCTAGCTCGAGTAGCAGACTGAGTTCAGACCTCTAGATGCTTCAGATGAACGCGCCTGGTGATTCTAGATCGGTTTCTGTGAGCATCAGCTCTGTAGCTCTCCTAAAGCTCGAGTTAAGTACAGAAAGCCAACAGCACCTGTCAAGATGACTCGAAACAGCCCATCCCGCCCCAGTGCTTTTTGGCAGTAAGAGGTACCCGATCGAGCTGAGATTCAACTGGCGAGCGGGAATAAGATCGAATAGCACGGGAAAAAATACTAGAGCTGAAACGAGTTGTTGAATTTCGAAAAAATAATTTTCAACCGACCAAAAGTCAGCAAAAGGTCCGTCGAGATTTTCCTTGTCAACTAGCTCTCCAGCGCTCCGGAATTCCTCTTAAGCTTCCAGCAACTAGCTAAGGGAAGCTCTACGAGTTAAGTTGGTTCCTGCAGGTCTTTTCATAATAACATTGCAGCTATAGGCCTAAGAATTGCACTGAAAGACGCGGAAAAACCCAGTACAGGTGAAAGAAATCTGGTGTCTCAAAAAGAATTGTCAAACTGGGCGCCGGCTGTGAACCGTCAACCATTCTTACCGCCGGGAGACTCGTAGAGCTTCCTTGCCATACGTTCCCCAAAGAATCAGAGAACGAATAGTTTGTCAGCCCGAGCGCTGATAGCAGACTGGTCTCAGGCGTCTAGATACATTTCACTCGCACCCCCGATGATTTTCTTCCCATTGCTGTGATGAACAGCTCTGTAGCTTAAAACGTAGAACAGCAGTGCCAGTTTCCATGAAAGTAGCAGAGTACGAATAGGTGTTCAGCCCTAGCGATAATAGCAGACCGAGCTCAGATGTCTAGATACTTTCAAATAGCGCGCATATTGATTATCTTTCCATTGCTGCGCCTAAGAGCTCTGAAGCTCATCTGCACCTCGAGTTCAGTCAAGAGAAGCAATTCCATCATCAGAAAAAAACAGAGCATGACTAGTTATTCGGCGTCTGCGCTCATAACAGACCCAAGTCAAGCGTCTAGATACTTCAGACTAGCGCGCCTGATGATATTCTTGATTTCTGTGCCGAAGAGCTCTCGAGCTGGTTTCTCAAAATGAATTGTCTGATATCTTTCAATTCTTACCAAAACCGACCCCAAGTCATCACATTGTCTCTTTAGGTCGGGTCTGCTAACTAGCTGCACCCTGCGCCCTAATTCCTCTTAGCACATCTTGCCGAAGAGATCTACGAGGAATTTTTCGAGTTTCTTGGCTCATGCTTGAGAAAGCTTCTTTCATGCGCTCCGATCAGCGCCGCGCAAGAAGAGAGCTCTACGAGGCTTCCGGCGGTTACCTGGTTGACGGTTTACCGCCGGATCCCAGTTGTCCGTCGGGGCGGGGTCGGCGAACTGGGCGCCGGCGGTGAACCGTCAATCTTTCTTACCGCCGGGAGACTCGTAGAGCTTCCCTGCCATATATCATGTCCAAAGAACTAGCAGAGAACGAATAGTTTTTCAGCCCGAGCGCTGATAGCAGACGGATCTCAGACGTGTAGATACATACCCAAGCCTCTGTATACCTCAGACTAGCGCGCCTCATGTTTTGATTCTGATTTGTGTGCCAAAGAGCTCTCAAGCTCATCTGCAGCTAGAATTAAGTGAAGAAATTCATCGTCATTTCGATCGGTCGAATACGAAGAGTTTTGCGGACCTAGCTCGAGTAGCAGGCTGAGTTCAGAGCTCTAGATGCTTCAGCCGAACGCGCCTGATGATTCTGAATCGATTATGTGTGCGCACAAGCTCTGTAGCTGTGCTACAGCTCGAGTTAAGTACAGAACACCGACAGCGTCTGTGAAGAGAACTCGAAGAATACGAATAGTTTCGCGGGCCTGGCTCGAGTAGCAAACCAGGTCCAGACCTCTAGATGCAACAGACAAGCGCGCCTGATGATTCTGAATCGATTCGTCTGCGTACCAGCTCTGTAGCTCTCCTACAGCCGAGTTAAGTACAGAAAACTTGACAGCATCTGTCAAGATGATTCGAAGAATACAAATAGTTTCGCGGACCTAGCTCGAGTAGCTAACCGAGTTCAGACCTCTGGGTGCAACAGACGAACGCGCATGATGATTATGGATCGGTTTCTGTGCGCACCAGCTCTGTAGCTCTTCTACAGCTAGAGTTAAGTACAGCAAAACCGACAGCACCTCTCAAGATGACTCGAAGGATACGAACAGTTTCGCGGACCTAGCTCAAGTAGCAGACCGAGTTCAGACCTCTCGATAAAACAGATGAACGCGTCTGATAATTATGATTCGGTTTCTGTGCGCACCAGCTCTGTAGCTCTCCTCAATATCGAGTTACGCGTGTCCAGATGACTCGAAACGGCCGATCCCGCCGCCATCCTTTTTGGCAGTACTATCTACCCGATTGACCTGAGATTGAGACAGCGAGCGGGAATGAAATCGAATATCATGGGAAACATACTAGAGCTCTAACGAATTGTTGAATTTCGAGAACATAATTTTCAACCGAACAAAAGTCAGAAATGTCCGTCGAGATTCTTCTTGCCAACTAGCTCTGCAGCGCACCGGAACTGGGAGCCGGCGGTAAACCGTCAACCAGGTTACCGCCGGGAGCCTCGTAGAGCTCTTTGCTGGCGCGGCGCTGCTCGAAACACATGGAAGGAGCTTCCTCAAGGGCGAGCTGGAAAACACGGAAAAACGTATTTTTTTGGTTTCTATCTAAGGTCGGTTCCCCCAAATATTTTGATAGTAATACTGCAGCTACGCACCTGAGAATTTACCTGCTGGACGCGGCATAACCCACTACAGGTGCGAAGAATACCGGTTCCCAGAACGAATGTTGAAAATATCGCACAATATTTGTGCCAACCGACCCAAGGTTCCAACATTGCGCCAGGGCCGCGTGCGCCAATGGGATCCGCGGTAAGCCGTCAACCAAGTTACCGCCGGAAGCCTCGTAGAGCTCTTTCCTCGCGCGGCGCTGCTCGAAACACAGTCAAGAAGCTTTCTCAAGAATGAGCTGAGAAACTCAAAGAATTATTTTTTTCATGTT